TTCAATTAGGGGCTTATGAGAAAGGACTCTGCATTCAGATAAACACTTCCAGGCATATTTCCTGCCATCCATTCGTGCTTTTCCTGTGCGCACAAAAAGCTCTGGGCCTTTCCAAAGAATCCACATTGGTCTGCTTGCAGAAAGCTGCAAACATTGCTGACATTGAAAATCTAAATGGAGAGTGATCTTTTCTCAGTTTACTGTAGATGAAGCAGAGTTTTGGAAATTATCGGAGGGAAAAGCGTAGCCGGCTTTTCTAAGAAGAAAAGAGACCCAAAACCATACAATTACAGTATGTTCTTTGGTGCTCAGTGAGATGTAAGGCCTTCACATTCCAGCAGGGGGCAGGCTTTAACTGCTTTTGAATTTTCACAGCCTCTGTGGGGAAAAGCTGCTTTTTTTGGCAAAAGATAATGATGAATCTGTTTCTTCTTTCGTCTGTTGTTCCAAGATAGATCTCAAGTTACTGTGTTAGAGGACAGGGTGGTTTTTCTTTAACAAAATGGCAAAGAATGTGTGTTCTTTTTATTTTATTTTATTTTTCAGAGACGCACAACATCCCTTACTCACACCCCAATTGTGTTAAGACACTTACTCTATAAATATATCTCTGTTTTTCTTTTAGCTATCTGATGTGAACGAATGGCAATTATTATTTTTCCAGTATGCCAGAGACTGGCAAGATATTTGTGCCCATTAGCTACAATTGTTTCTTTCTTTCCTGGGCTGCAAACAATGCAGTTTGACACTGCTTTAACTGGCATAGCTCAATGGTAAGGAATCCTGAGATTTCTATTCTGTTGTAGCACCAGAGCTCTCTGACAGAGAGGGTTAAATATCTCACAAAATTATAAATCCCATAATTCCTTAGCTTTGAACCATTACATCTGCAGTGCAGATGCAGTCCTGGAAACTCGCCAGGGAGCTGGCAGCCAATGGCTCAGAGACTGGCATCTATCCAGGGATCATCACTTTGAGTAGCACTGATACATATAATGCAACAGCTTGTTTGTAATCATGCTGTGGGGAAAAGAAACTATTTTATACTGGTTTGTGTTTATTCTGAATGCTTTGCTGAAGAAGCCAGTGGAGAAGGGCTGGGAAATGCTCTTGTATGCCGGGTTTGGAGGCGAGATTTGCAGATGACACCAAATTAGGAGGAATAAGTAATACCCCAGAGTAAAGGAGCAAAATTCAAAATGACCTGAATCAATTAGAAAGCTGGGCCAAAACTAACAAAATTAATTTCTACAGGGAGAAGTGTAAGGTACTGCACTTAGGCAGAAAAAATGAAATGCATAGATATAGGATAGGGGATACATGGCTTAAGGAGACTATGTGTGAAAGGGATCTAGGAGTCTTAGTAGACCACAAGTTGAACATGAGTCAACAGTGTGATGTGGTAGCTAAAAAGGCCAATGCAATTTTAGGCTACATCAATAGAAGTATAGTGTCTAGAGATCAAGAGAAGTAATAGTGCCACTGTATTCTGCTTTGGTCAGGCCCCACCTGGAATACTGTGTCCAGTTCTGGGCACCACAATTCAAAAAGGATGTTGAAAAACTGGAATGTGTCCAGAGGAGGGTGACTAAAATGGTGAAGGGTCTGGAAACCATACCCTATGAAGAACGACTTAGGGAACTGGGTATGTTTAGCCTGGTGAAGAGGGGATATGATAGCTCTTTTTAAATATTTGAAGGGATGCCATATTGAGGAGGCTTGCTTGTTATCTGCTGCTCCAGAGAACAGGACCTGGAACAATGGATGCAAGCTACAGGAAAAGAGATTCCACCTCAACATTAGGAGGAACTTCCTGACAGTAAGAGCTGTTCGACAGTGGAACACACTCTCTCAGATTGTGGTGAAGTCTCCTTCATTGGAGGTCTTTAAACAGAGGTTGGATGGTTGGGGGTGCTTTGATTGTGATTTCCTGCATGGCAGGGGTTGGACTGGGTGGCCCTTGTGGTCTCTTCCAACCCTATAATTCTGGGATTCTAGGATACCACCTAAAGGCAGTTTATAAATTTAAAATAAAAAATGGCATACATAAAATAACAGTCATATCACATAATAATAATAAGCAAGTAAAAAGTAAAGGTTTCCCTTTAACAAGGTTGTCAAGTCATGCCTGACTGAAGGGGTGGTGCTCACCTCTGTTACTAAGCTGAAGAGCCAATGTTATTAAAGATGACTCTGTAGTCATGTGGCCAGCATGACTGCACAGAACACTGTTACCTTCCCACCAAAGTGGTACCTATTTATCTACTTGCATTTGCATACTTTCGAACTGCTAGGTTGGCAGAAGCTGGGACTAGTGGTGGGAGCTCACTCCATCATACGGCACTTGGGTCTCAGACTGCTGAGTGTCTTAACCATTGAGCCACCACGGTAAGTGAGTACCAGCAATAGCTGGAACCATTAATTTTTTTCAACTACAGATCAGCATTAATTAATCAACTATGAACATTTAAAATCTGACAGACCATACATTTCCCAAGGGAGGGAGTTCCACAGTGAGGAAAAGGTATATATATATCTGTTCACCTGCTGTTAACTGTCTCAAGTCACCCCAACTCATAGCTA